CCGGGGGTAGGTGCAGCGGGGCTCCTGCCAGCGCCGCGAGTCCGGGGCCGGGCCGCTTTTGTGGGCGCGAGACCCCGCCTCCAAAGTGCAGGAATAAAAATATTTTATAGTAATAAAATAAAAACAAATGACCTGCGCAGTGCGCTGCACCATAGATTCCTGTTTGAAGTGCCTGGGTTTTACCTTGGGGTTCATGATGGCACGCCTGGTGCCAGCCTTTGAGGGCCCTTCTCGACCTCCCATGCGGCACTCTTGGATGGAGCCACGCGAGACCCCGCCTCCAAAGTGCAGGAATAAAAATATTTTATAGTAATAAAATAAAAACAAATGACCTGCGCAGTGCGCTGCACCATAGATTCCTGTTTGAAGTGCCTGGGTTTTACCTTGGGGTTCATGATGGCACGCCTGGTGCCAGCCTTTGAGGGCCCTTCTCGACCTCCCATGCGGCACTCTTGGATGGAGCCACTGCACCTGGTTGGGAATCTTCCCCTGTCCGGCAGCTGGCGCTGCCTGCATGGCCTCGCCTGGCCTGGGGAGCAAAGATCTGCCATCTATTTTTTTATTTCTCTATTATTTTTTAAATTTCTTTCTCTCTTTTTTTAATGCATCACCCTTGAAAGGATCCATAGCACCCCAGCTGGGAATCTTCCTGTGTTTGGGACTCCCTTTTGGTTTGGGGGGGGGTTGTTTTCCCCCCCTCTGCTTCACACTGAGAGGGCTGACCTCTAGTCTTCTGTGCACACATTGCAGGGTTTTGGATGGGGTGAAAACAGCTTTGTCTGCCTCTCTTGCTCTGCCCTTTGAGTGCACTTTGCTATGCAGATAGGGGCCTGAGGCATAGATGTGAGACAATGCTCTTCTCTTGATTTTTCTCTATGCTCTTTCTCTCACATGGGGAGAAATGGTAACATCTACTTTATTTCTCTAGGTGTATACCTCACTGTTCTTAGGTGTAGTCTAAACCCATGGTGCTCAACCTTTTTTTCCCCTCCAGGCCTGACGGGTAGTGTCCTGTTCATCTGTGGGCTGGATCCAGCCAAAGGTCCTGATTTGGCATGTGGGGCAGGTGCTGCAGGCACCATCTGACCGTGCAGATGGGGGTCAGCTCCAATGTGGCCCTGCAGTGGAAAGGAGCTTCTTCTGGCCTAGTGGGGGGCTCCCCACAGGGAGGAAGGGAGCACCAGCCAGCTGTGCGGGGCTTAGGGTTTGGGAATTTGGCAGGTGGGGAAGGGTGGCTGTATTAATGGCCACTGCTCCCCTGCTACCAAATTTCTGAACCCACTGGGAGCTCTGGGAGCCAGATGAGGTGACTCCCTGGGCTGCTTTTGGCCCATAGGCTGAAGGTTGAGCACCCCTGGTCTAGATAAAGCTTTGCCAATGGCTATAAGCCTGTTATTGCACTGAGCTTAGTAGGGACAAACAGCTACGGTATGTGCTATTTATGCTAGTGAGGCTATTACACCTGGGATATCTCTGGGGCTTTTATTTTATTTGGAAAAGTACAAGAGAAACCAAAACAAGTTCCTTCAAACTATGTACCATTTTTTATTGGGATGTTATGAGTTGGACAATATTAACAAGAGCAGTCGCATACAGCAGAGAATACACAAACATACTCACTGCTGGGTGGCAAAGTCTTGGGGCCCTCAGAATCTGTCCTCGGGGTTTGAGGCAAATTCCAGACTTCCCTACCTGTCTGCCTTTGTATGGGGGAGTTGTATGCAGTTCAGGTTTAGATTTCTGTATTTCCATTGCTCTCAGATAAGGATCTCGGCCAGTTCAGTAGAAAGCAGGGAAAGGACTCGTGGCCTGTGACCATTGTTCTTTCCTAGGATATTGGCATTGGGTGTGATTATTGGCCTGTGTAGCTCAACTTCCTTGAAATTTGTCACTCACAAGCTGCTTCTCTCACATGGTAATCATTATGATTCAGACTGAACTGCTTCTGGAATCAAAATATCTGGGATGAGGAATGTAGTTACACCCAGAACAGCAAAAAGGGATGAGGGGTGTTCAGGACTCCCCAGCAGGGCATCTGTTGAAACCTAGGGAAGCAACAGAAAATCAAATACATTGCACTGGTGCAGCTATGCTAGCAGGTGCAATCCAAGTGTTGCCTTTGGGCCTTTGGTATGGTTTTTGGAGCTCAGACTAATGAAACACCAAGATATAAGTATACTAGTAAATGAAACTTTCAACTAATGTAAACATATGACACTGACCCTACCAAGCCCTGTTTAAATAAACAGGATAGCAGGTTCATTTTAGTAATCTTAAGTTTTACCTGATGTGTCTAGCAATCAAAGGAAACAGAGTTGTAGAAGTCCATGTTTTCATGTCTTTGAATCTATTTGAGAAATTCCTTACGCCAGTGGTTTTCAACCTGTGGTAAGCAAATCCCCTCTTTATACGTGAGAGAGCAGTACACCTTTCTCAAGGCTGACATTGACTCCAAAGATAAGAAGCTTGAAACCCTCTGGGTCAAGCTGCGAGGTGGGAGAGGTAAGAGGGGGAAGGGGGACGGGCGGTGAGGTGAGAGAACCAAACTCTTTACCATCCACCTCAAGGTCGACAAATCAACCAGCAGGATTGAAGTCCTGGACTTCAAAAATGCTGACTTCGACAGGGTCAGAGCATTGGTCGGGGAGGCAACATGGAACCAGGAAGGGAAGGTGAATGGGGTGCACAAACAGTGGTTGTTGCTCAAGGATACAATCCTCGAAGCACAAAAGAAAACCGTTCCTGCAAAGGTAGCAGAAGGTCTGGCAAGCCCTCCTGGCTTAATAGGGACATTATGGTCCTTCTAAAAAAAATTAAAAAGAGGTGTGCACACAGTGGAAGCTAGGGATGGTCCTCCTTGGCTAGCACTTGTAGGTAAATGATCAGGAAAGCCAAAGCAGTCACTGAGTTTAGGTTAACCACGGAAGTCAAGGACAGTAAGACGTCCTTCTTTAGGTATGTAGGCATTCGAAGGAAAACAAATGGAAGTGTAGGACCCCTGCTTAACACCTCAGGACAGCTGGTAACCAACATTGAGGAAAAAACTGAACTCCTGAATGCCCACTTTACTTCCGTATTTCCCCAGACCGGGGGAAAGACAAGTGAGATAAGGCTCATAGGGGGCATGCCGGGAATGGCAGCTTCCCCACTGTGGATGCTGAGTCAGTGCAAAACCAGTCAGAAAAGCTAGACATTTATAAGTCAGCAGGACTGTATGGATTCCATCTGAGAGTGCTGAAGGAGCTGGTTGAGGTCATCGCAGGATCCCTGGCAAAGCTTTTCCAGAATTTGTGGCACACAGGGGACATCCCTGAGGGTTGGAAGAGGGCCAACATTGTGCCCATCTTCAAGAATGGGAAGAGGGAGGACCCGGGCAACTATAGAGGTTAGCCTGACTGGCCTTTCTCAGGGAAAATCCTGGAAAAACTCATTAAAGAATCTATGTGCAATACGCTGTGAAAGGTAAGATTCTGAACGACAGCCGGCGTGGCCTTGTCGTGGGTAAGTCTTGTTTTACCAATCTCATCTTCTGTGAACAGGTCTCTCACCACCTGGCCATGGGAGATGAGGTAGATGTTATATAGCTAGACTTCCAAAAGGCTTTTGATCTAGTGTCCCACGATATCCTTGTGGGAAAACTGGAAGATTGTGGGCTCAGCTGCTCGATGGTTCAGTGGGTGGGAAACTGGC